TGTTCAATACCGGCCACAATTACCAGCCAAAATGCCATGGCGCCCTGCCATGCCATACATCCGAGGAAGCCAGCTGCCGGCGAGCATGCTCCCACCGCAGCCCTCCATAATTGGGTTTTAAGCTTCATGGATAGCCTGTTGGCTGCTACGACGTTGTGTCTTGTTCGCTGGACAAACCTTGCCACCCTTCCGAACGCCCTGTCCGACGGCTCCGGGTTCTGCGATGGACATGCCCGGCGCGCATCCCCACCACCTGCTTTACTGACTGCACCGTTCATTTCAATCTGCCGCCCCGTGAATCGTCTAGCTGTACGCGCCAGCGCCCGCTCGGTTCCTCCCCCTGAACCCCTCGGCAGCATCCAATGGTCGCTGTCCCCGCTTGCTGGCCGATCGCCGGTACATCAGTGCGCACGCGATCTGCCGCCTTCGAGGGCGGCCGCGATGGTATGCCGGTAATCGAAGGTTCAATTCGTGTTCCTGATCAATAGTCCGAACTGAAGGGACTGCTAGGCTCTAGAGAAGTTGAAAGAAAGGCATCCCGCAAAACCACAGACAAGCACAAGACGAACGAACGAAAACCTTTCGCCCTCCGAGGTCTCGGGTGATACTGCCACACACTCTCCTCGCACGACAGCCGCCTCGCAACCACGGGTCGACCGCACAGACCGGGGCTGAAGGCCGGCCGGCTCCTCGACTCGGCGGGCATCCACCAAAGTCTCTTCCCCCCTTTCTGAAGAGTAGGGCACCAAGTTCTTCTAGAAGAGGTCTGATGTGGACGCCTCAAACACAAGATCGGCCGGGCCAGGGCGAAGGAGACGCTGCAGCTTCTCTAACAGGCTCCGGGCCTTCAACCCCTCGTCCCTCAATTGGCGACTCCAGCACACCCAGTATCCGTATTTCCCCCTGTCTGCCTATGTTCAGAGACAGATCCTGGTCGAAGACCAGGAAGCATCGCCCGCGAACAGACGACACCCCCGGTCCTACGTAGTGGTGGTTGGTTTGCCTGCGTGTGTCCGTCTGCTTTTTATCCTGTCATTCCAACAGTGTGCAGAAGGCGAGAGCTTAAAGTCTGACTTGAGTTGACAAAATTTGAAGCTTGAGCAAATAAACATGTCGTGCTAGGCTCGGCTCGCGCACCATGTCTCACTATTTGGCTTTTTTGGCTTTTTGTTGTTTTCGCGTCTTTCGTCTGTCGAAAATGACGAGCTCCCCCCGGCAGGCAAGACAAGGTGACAGTATGCCAGGGCCCAATCGGCGAGTTTTCGAACCGAATTTTAATCCTCAAAGTCGACGTCACCCGAGTTGGAAAGCAACCATGTCGGGACTCGGCAGTGTTTCTGACGGAAACCGGGGCGTCTGACACTTTTGGCTGGTGCTTTGGCTTTTGTTGTCTCTTATTACAAGTCACCTTTCGCGGAGCTCACAACCGCTTCTGTCCTCCGGGAAATCATGCTCCGGCAGAGATGGTTTGAATTCCGTAACTCCTATCTAGACCGACCCGTCTCCGATACCTTTGCCCAGCTGAATGCCGGCAAACCATTGCAAAGTCCCCTGAAAAACCCTGAATGATCTCGCTGATGCCCCGCCGCAGCGTTTTCCTCTTTTCTTTTCAAGCACGCTAGACTTTCTACTACACATCACCGACCTATCTCACGACGACAGTCCACCTGTTTACGGCTTGCAACGGCCCATGTAGCGGGGGTACAAGCATGTCGTGCGGACGGTGTGCTGGTTGGCAAGCCAGGCCAGGAAACGCTCTAGACCAAGTCCGTAGCCGCCGTGGGGGGAGGTGCCGTACCTAGAAAGGTCGTGGTTAGCGCTGATGTATGGGCTCATCATTGTTAGGGAGAAACTCACTTTCTCTGGTCAGTGTACCAGTAATAGTCCTTGGACGGGATGCCCTCTCTGTCGTAAGCGGCGAGCAGCTCCTCGTAGCCCTCCATTCTCATCGATCCGCCGACAATCTCACCAACACCTGGCATCAAACAGTCGACGCTCTCGGTCACGCGGGGGTCCTGGGGGTCCTTCTTCATGTAGAAGGCCTTGATCTCGGTAGGGAAGTGGGTGAGGAAGATGGGTTTGTTGATGGCGTCGGTCATCTTGCGCTCAGCAGCCTCGGCGATGTCGTCACCAAACTTGTGGGGCTCGCCCTCCTCGTTGAGGATGGGGGGATCTTGGGCGTTAAGCCAGTCAATGGCGTCGGTGTACTTCATGCGCATGAAGGGACGGACGGGCCTCTTGAAGTCGGGGTTGAGCTCCTTGATCAAGGCGGCAATCTCCTCGTCGGCCAGAACGTTGTCAATGACACGGCACATGACCTCCTCAAGATGCTCCAGCAGGTCGGGGAACTCGATGAAGTCCAACTCGGCCTCGACGTGAGAGTACTCGGCCAAATGTCTACGGGTCAAGCTGCGCTCGGCACGGAACGACTTCTCGATACAGTAGACGCTGCCGAGACTGGGGAGGACGGTCTCGAGGTAGAGCTGGGAGGATTGGGTGAGATAGGCGGTCTCGTCGTAGTAAGGGACGGAGAAGAGCGTGGCACCGCCCTCGACCTGGGTCTGCACGAGGGCAGGCGGAGAGACCTTAGTGATCTTGAGGTCCTTGTAGGTCTTGGTAAAGGCCCACTCGACAGCCGCCCGGATCTTCATGATGGCAGACGCGTTGTCGCCGCGGAGAACCAGGTGGCGGTTGTCCAGCATCTGGGAGTCCCATTGGTTCTGGGTCAGGGAGACCTTGTTGGTGATGGCATCGTCATCCCTGGGGGCGCTGCCGATGACCTTGTAGTAGTCGACGTGCAGCTCGCGGTTGTCGGGGGCCGTCTGGCCCTCGGGCACCTTCTTCAGCTCTCCGTAAACCCAGAGGGAAGTGCCCTGCGCGAAAGTGAGGGCATCGTAGGTCTTGGTCAGATCACCGGCCTGCAGGACGCACTGCAGGTGACCGTACCCGTCAATCAAGGTGATGAAAGTGGCCTGCTTCTGCTCGCGCAGTCTGTGGATGCGGCCGGCAATCTTGACGCGGGCGCCCTTCTTATCGCCGTCGCCGAGCTCGACGTTCTTCTCGCCAATGGTGATGCGCTTCGCAGGCGGGAGTGACTCATCCTCCTTGATGACAATCTGCTTGGCGGCCTCGAGAGTCTGCAGGCGCTGCTTCTCGCGCTCCTCCTCCTGGGCCTTGTTCTGGGCGGCCTTGACCAGCTTCTTCTTATGAGCGTCAAGGGCAGACTGGGCCTTCTTGACGGCGCTCTTGGCGGGCTCCTTCCACTCGAGACGGGCGGCCTCGTCGTCGCCCGTCTTGGAGGCGCGGGACAAGAACGTGCGGCCGGGAGTATCGATGTTGGAGATGTATGCGGCGGCGAGGGACTTGAAGGGGGAGGCTTCGGTGCCCGTGGTCGTGGGCTCGTCGGCGCCGGCGTCGGTGTCGATGTAGACCTTGTCGTCTGACTTGAGGCGCTCGGCCAATTCTTGGACGGCGGCCATGTTTGCGGTGTTTCTGAAAGTGTCTGGCTTCTCTTCCACTTATTATTCAATCAGATTCGGAAAAGCGGGCGTATGTGACGATGGCCGCAGTGGACACGTTGTTTGTTGACTCGTTTCTCGTCCCGGACGTGAGGCGGGAAATTTTTGGGCTGCGGTCGAGCGAGGATGGCGGGGTAGTAAAATCGGATTGAGTTGGTGGGAACGCGAGACGGAGGGGAAATCTAAGGTGACGGAGGAGGGGTGGGCCTGATGTACCTTCCCGCAGCTGCGCTGTGTGAGTCACTAAAACCCGACCCTTCGAACCGGGAACAAAGTACACAAATGTCACCAGAGGACGCGAATTGATACAGGAGCTTCTCTCGGGCGAGCATCTTCCGTCGAGGGCCTCATTTATCTAACTGCAATTCCAGAGACCAGGCGAGGGAAGGGTGAGTCACTCATCGTGCCCAGGGGTTCGTTACACTGGTCAGACACCTTGATACCTCTACCTGACGAGGAATTTATGGTCCGTGGTTGCTACCGGCCCTCGGGCAACGCAAGGGCACACAAATCAACAGTGAATCTGGCCTGCCGGCGCGCCGGACAAGCAGAGGACGATGCCTGTGGTTCGAGCGGGTGTCAATTGAGCATTTCGATTGCTCAGAGATAAGGGGCCCAGATTGGAGAGGAGCTCGGGCCCTTGAACGATAGGGTTGGGCTCCGAAGATAGGAGTTTCGAACACACTCACTGGACTCGCTTGTTTGTTGTCAAGAGAGCCGGCAGGGCAGGTGAAAGGGGAATTGAAAGGCGGTCAACTCACCGACATACCAGGCTTGTTGATGCAGTCCTAGGATGTCATGTGATTGATGGTGTTTTTGATCTCCAAAGACATGTTGCCCGTTGTTCTCCAAACCAAGATACGGCCGGGATGTGGGGATATCGACTCGGCTGACGGCGCAAGTCACCTGGCTCTCGCTGTCTATTCATCAGGGGAATAACAATTCACTTCACTGTAGCCGAATCGATGTTAGTAGCACTCGTATCAAGATGAATGGCGCAAATAAGTAGAACATCAGGACGGGCGTGCGTGGCAGAAGGTGCAGTCGACGTGAACCCAGCTAGGGATTCGCGTAGTCAACTGTAGGCACCCAACTTATTGTTTGATGTTAGTATCAAGGCGCGATCGAAGTAACGTTTCTAACAATGGCTCGCCGTGGTCATCACATAAGTCGAACATAGGTTGGCCGAAAGTCTGGTGTAATCGCCTAGCATCTCACAAACGGCCCAGCCCCTCGACGAAAGCGAAGCAATCGGTTTCCAATCTCTAATGTAAGCCGCTAAATTCGCTGAACATAGACCGTAAATGGCCCTATGTGAGTCGATCGTGAGATGCCTTTCGCCGCCTTTGTCATCCAGCTCGTCAACCCCAAGCCAAGGTTGTGCTTCATGGGCCTAGCCCGTCCTCGTTTTGAACGCCCGCCCCATCCTCTCGTCATGGCCGCTTCCTCCCGACGCCAATATCATTCCTCAAAGTATATCGCTTACAACTCATCCTTCACCTCGGCCTCGATAGCAGCAGCGGCCTTGCCCTCTTTGCCCATCCCCTCCAGCCCCTTCTTCACCATGGAGCTCAGCACTTCATACACGACCTGCGCCGCCGCCAGCGCCGTCTCCTCGCCAGCGTTCTGGTACGCAGGCGAGACCTCAACAACATCGGCACCAACGAGGTTCAGACCCTCGATACCTCTCAGGATACGGATCAGCTCGCGGGTCGTCCAGCCACCAGGCTCAGGAGTACCGGTGCCGGGGGCAAACGCGGGATCCAGTACGTCGATGTCGATCGACAGGTACACGGGGTCCTCCGTCCCCAACGTCTCCATGATGGTCTTGACGATGCCGGCCGTGCCGATCTCATCAATGTCGTCGGCGGCGATGCGCACCCAGTTCTGCGCCGTGTCGTCCTCGTGGTCGGAAAAGTCCGTGCCGGACAGACGGGTGCGCAGGCCCGCGTGGACGGAGGGGGCGGACGTGGTGTTGGACAGGAGGCCCTCGTTGCCGGCCATCCAGAACATGGAGCCGTGGTTGAACTGGGTCGACGTCCAGTAGGAGGGGTACTTTTCCGGGTGCCAGGTGTCCAGGTGCGCGTCAAAGTGCAACACGCGGAGCTGGCCGTAAGTCTCCTTCAACGCTCTCAGCGCGGGCAGCGCCAGGCTGTGATCGCCGCCAAGGGTGATCAGCTTGGGCTTGCTCAGAGACGAGGAGACGGGCTTCCTCTGTCCCAGCTCCCTGAAGGCGGTGCTCATCTGGTCGAGAGCAATGACGTTGTCCATGGGCGTCACGGGGATGTCGCCACAATCGATAATGGTGGCCCAGTTGGCGTACGGGTTGATGTTGGCACGGGGGTTGAAGCCACGGAAGGACGTCTGTCTGCTGGATGCCTGGCGAATCGCGCGGGGACCGAAGCGAGCGCCTGAGGATCATGTTTCAGCTGATGGGTTCTCACAAGCGATGCGGAGGCGTTGATACCTGGTCTGTAGCTCACGGCTGTGTCAAAAGGGGCGCCGATGATGGCGATGTCGTAGAGTTCTTGTGGGGTGGTCAAGCACTTTGCGTGCTTGAGATGAGCAAACGTGCCGATGCCCGTGAAACCTATACTTGTGAGTTGAGTATTTCATGTCATCGACGATGGTCATTACGAACCCCACTGCCAGAAGAGTCAGTCATGATGCCTACTCATAATGTCAGAAAGTCGGACTCACCTCAAAGCCCCATTTGGCCTCCAGCTCATCCAGCTCAGCCTTGGTCCATTCCTTGTCGTCACCGTGGTTGCCACAAGCAGAAGCTAGCAGAGCCGACGAGCAGCCCAGCAGCAGAGAAGTCAACTTCATGGCCCGTGTCTTTCTTCGCGTAATGGATGAGTTGCTGTTGCGTCTGCTGTTGATAAAGTTGAGGCGGGTGGGCTGAGAGGTCGAGGTTCAGACAAGGAGAAGACGGCTGGGAAAAAATGAAATGCTTGGTTTCAAGTCTATCGGGAGAAGTGCATGACAACTTAAAAAGACCAGCCGATTCGGCGGGACCGGCTCAGTGCACCGCAACCGGCCCGGCCTCCATTTGGAAGATGGCCTCAGTCTGCTACTTTCATAGATATGGCCGATTCGCCCACCTTCTTCGTTGCCGAGAAGGGCGCTACCTAGTCTCCAGTCGAAGCTCCCCCGAGGGGAAAGATACCCGCTGGCCGTGGCCCAATTGGCCAATGCATCCACCGTCGTCCGTCGTTGCGGTGTCAAGCTCCTGGCCGGAGCTTCTAGGCTCCCGGAAAATGCGGAGAACATCGGGTTCGAAATAGGCAAGCTATCCGTTCTGACCAGTCAATCGACCTCCATATCCGAGGGGGGCAATCAACCATCAACCAATGCATTAGCCTATCTTCGGCCCTCTGCTCCTTGGGTCGAATGGCCCCCGCGGAGGATGGAGGGGTAGCGTGGCCGCCGGCGAAGGGACTGTGGGGCCGGATATGCTGCTAAGCAGCGTCCGATTTCCTCCCGCTCCCCGATAAGATCTTGGAACAGCCTATATGCAATGATCAACAGGAGGTGCATATATCCATGAGAGTCGCCAATCCCATCCAAACCCAGCCGCACTCGATACTCTCAGAATTCGTCAACAACCTGCCGATTGACGGGTGGCTGACGTGCCTAGGCGCCAAAATACCCCAAGTGAGCATCATCGGTTGGCCAATACGAACCCCCCTTTACTATCAGAGGCCAGAGCCTTGCATGCCTTGACCATCGATATCTCCACTCTTGTCCCCGGGGGCCCCCATGGCCTTCCTCATGGCGTTCGTAACCGGCTCCCGACATAGTATGCAACACCAAAGGCAGCGAGAGGAATAAGTCCAAATGCGGGGGAGGCAGGAATGAGATTCAAAGAGAAGAGGAAGAAGCCCGGGTCTCCCCCGCGGGGCGTTTGAACCCTTTAGTAAACGGCACTAGTCTGACCACATCTGTCTCGCATTGATGGTGGCAGAGGCGCCCGAGGTGCGACGTCATTCTCCTTATGCAATACGCCTACCACACCTCAGCCCAAAGATCGAGGGGACCAAGGGGGTTCCAGTGGTCGTTGCGCCTCTGTGAGTCGTCTCCTGGGCAAGATTGCAAGTAAGGCGTAGCGGAACAAAGAAAGCGGTTGTGTGGCAGCGTCAAGACCTCCGGGCAGTTGGAACAACAACGCCGTCCATGTCGCAAAACTTACTGCTCACCGTTCATTGCCCATCGCGTGTGTTTGTCTGCCTCAACGTGGTGGCGGTAATTCTGCCATCTCTCACTCTTCTTCTCCCGCAGGCACCATCAGGGCCTTTGGATGGCGTACTCGGAGCCGAGAGAGGAACTTGCACGCAGGAATGACTCGCCGGGCCGATAGGTGGTGTAAACACCGAGTCTGTGGTGCGGTGGACGAAGCAAGGTTCCTGGACTGGCCGGTGCTCATCGTCAATGTGTCTGTACGCCCGTCCAATCATCGCAAATTGAACCGAATAGAGAATAGGGTCACCAGGCACTTCAGCGCGAAAAAAATTGACCATCGATTTAAAGTGCACTCCAATCGCCAAACTGTCCTATCGAAGTATTCCTGCCTGCGTGTGATGAATTTACCCATCCCTAAATGTAGAAAGAAGCAAGAAAGACCACCAAGATCCGGGCTAGGGAACAAGGAGTTTGAGGGGCTAGGAAGAGGGAAGAGGGTAGTAGGTTGGGGGGAGAGAGATAAGGGGGGAGGGGGAGGCGATGAGAGGACCTTTGGGAATTTGTGAACCAAGTATACAAGGGGAAATACAGCCCGTCGTTTTGATCCATTTCCCTCTTTTCCTGCAGTCCCCCTCGCGACGGAAAATGCCTGATAGCCCAGACTGTCGGTCAGATGGTCCAATCCAAACCTCGCTGTCGTTGAACCAGGAAGCCCAATCCATTAATTCGCGAGAGATGACAGCCCTGAACGGTTCCATAGTTGCGGCTAACCAAGATCCAGCGTGTCCTATGCCATGCGCGCTGCAAACAAAAAGAGGCCCAAAATGCCATTCAAAGCCGGATGTCCAGAACCGTTTGCGCGCGCATCTGGAAGGCAAGAGAAAAGGCCCAAGCCTGGTTCTCGGCTTTTTCGCTCGCCGCCAGAGCCAGAACCCGGGCAGGGCGGAAGGAAGCGAGACCCGTGGGGAGAGGGTTCGCAATCAGAGGACAAGGCACTTGTGCGACTTCTTCTTGGGAGCAGGGGGCTCCAGAGCCGCAACGATCGCCTGTACGCGGGTTAGTCGCGCATCACAGCAACGATGGAGAAGAGCCGTACCTCATCAAAGACATCCTTCAACTTGAACTGCGTCAGAGCACTGCACTCGACGTACTTCACCGCTCCCAAGTCCTTCGCCATCCGCTCGCCATCCTCTTTCCGTACGGGAGACATCTTCTGCTTAGAAAGCTTCTCGCGCACGCTGGGATCCTCTCTCAAGTCCACCTGGGTGCCAACGATAAGGCAGGGGACGCCAGGGCAGTGGTGATGTACCTCGGGGAACCACTTCTCGCGGACGTTCTCGAAGGAGGCGGGTGATGTGACGCTGAAGCAGACGAGGAAGACGTCGGTCTGGGGGTAGGAGAGGGGGCGCAGTCTGTCGTAATCTTCCTGACCGGCGGTATCGAACAGTCCCAGGGTGTAAGGCTCATCTCCGATCCTGCAAAAAGTGGCCATCAGCGCAAGGCCTACCAAGTTTTCCCAAACAATGCCAGCAGATTCCATTCCCTTGATCCTCCTATCCCTTTTGTCCGTCCATTCGTGCTGGGTCCGCCTCTTCAAAGGGCCTTGGAGCCTGGTGTTTGAGTGTCTGGAGGCGCTGGAGAAACTCACATTACAGTGACGGCGTAGTTATCGAAAACGGTCGGGACGTATTCGGAGGGGAACTTGTTCGTCGTGTAGCTGATGAGGAGGCATGTCTTTCCGACCGCACCGTCGCCGACGACAACGCACCTGGAGGATGAGGGTCAGTTCTGGTCCTGAGCACAATGCCCGGTGACATGCGCGCTTTGATGACTGCGGTGAGAGCGAGGGAGAGAGAGGGGTCGGCCCAATCCAGAGGCAGCCAGCGCAAGAGAGGGCAGCCTCGGCCATCTGGATGAATGGGCAGTCTGGCCATGACGAGCGACAATATCTAGATGGGCGTAGATATTGAGGCAGGCAGAACAGAGCGACACAGCTGGAGTCGAGGGACTACAACTTGTGACTGGGCAAGGGGATGGAGATGGGGATAGGGCCACGGCAAAACAGGGAGAAAATGTACGCACTTGATAGTAGCGACGACCATTGTCTAGATCAAAGATGCTCCTGTGCAGGAGCAGAGACCTGGGGAAGAAAAAAATAAGACTGGTCTCTCAGTCTCTCCCTTATCGCGCGGCGCGTCGTCGAGTGTCTCTGGTCTTGTCGGGGTGTGATTTCCAGGCGGGTAAGGTAGGCAGGTAGGTTGGAGAGTGGCAGTGGTAGTTGGTAGCAGTGGTGGTTGCCGTCGCTGCAGGGCGAAAGATGGGTAGTGGAGACGGTCGAATCGAAATGGGGGGGCGCGGCGAGCAGGAGGAACGTGGAACGGGTCCTTGTTCGAAGCCGCAGGTAGGCAAGCAGGGCGGGTGGTGGTGGTGGTGGTTAGTTGGAGAAGGAGAGAGGGTCCAGGGTGAGCAGGTCGAGTAGGCCCGTCTTGCAAGGTAAGCGTGGGATTGGAAGTGTAAGGTAGCGGCGTCGCAGCAGCGGTAGCGGCAGGAGAGCAATAGCGGCAGACGCAGGAATAAGGCAGGGCCCGGCCAGGCAAGCTAGCGGGTCGGGTAGGTGAGCGGGTGTGAGTGGCAGAGGAGGTCAGTTGTGCGTGGTGTTGTCGAGTAAGAACGGCCAACGGAGAGGAGCAGGTGAGCAGGCGAGGGACGGGAGGGAGAAAAAAAAAAAAAAAAAAAAGGAAAGGGGGGACNGGGGGGGGGGAAAAAAAAAAAAAAAAAAAAAAAGGCAAGAGGTGACACTGGCGAAGGGTGATGAATGGGGCCGTCCCAACCAAGGTCGCAAGTGAGATGTCGTCGGGGATTTTTTTGTGTTCTTTTTTAGCAGCGATGGCGCCGGGCGGTCTCGACACACGCGGGAAAGTGGAACAGCAGGCCCGACCTGGACGTAAGGTAATAGAAGGAGGGGGGGAAAGGGGTCACCTTGGGGGGTGGAAAGCCAGAGGCGAGGAGCGGGCAAAAATGAATAATGAAATAAGTTTTTTGGGTGACGACCAGAAGCCTGAGGACCTGAACGCTTTGAGTGTGAGGTGTTCCGTCAGGGAAGGAAAGCACCATGGACTACGGATACCTGGACAGACAAAAAGTACCTGCGACGGCAGGGGATCGAGGGTTAGAAAATAAGAAAAGAGAAGAAAAAAAAAGAGGGAAAAGATTCCGCACGCAAACCGGTGATTAGTAGATACGATGGGCGGCTGTAGGAACAGTACCTTGCACTGCGAGGCTTGTGTTGGTTCTGCCAAATAAGATAAAGGCATTCGAGGTTAGAAAAAGCAAAGAGAAAATTAAAGGTTCCCTCTGAGGTTGCTGTTGATCATGGCACGCACGCAAACTTTGGTCCCATCTACGGAGGCAGGCAGCGGCTGCAGTAGCACGAGTAGTGGTACCAAGTCATGGTCCAGTGGCCATGGCCAAACTCGTAGCGGACGGGGTGTCATGGAGCATTATACTTGGTAGGAGCATGCCAGCTTCTTTCCGGAAAGCAACGTAAATTAGATCCATGAATGGCAATCTACCCAGGCGGACCAGATATTGCTGACCCTTCTCAGAGGCTAAAGATGGCAACCTATCAACCTACCTATCTTACCTTG